TTCGCGGGCAAGGAAACCTGAATTTATCGGCTCGAATCGTTTCAGCAGGTCGGCGCGGAACTGCTGCCACGTGGCTTCACCGTGGATGAAGGTGCTGTTACCGCCAATCCACTCGAGTGCCGGCCCTCGCATCAGTGTCGCCGCGAGTCGTACACGTTGACCGTCCCAGACTGGCGAGCTCCATCCGACGGCTGCGAAGTAGATCTCCATCCCGGCGATCCATCTGCGGGCGTCGGAGTTTCGATCGCTCGGATCGAACGGCTCAGGTGGGCGCGGTTTTGGAGCCTCGAGAAATTGCTGCGACTGCTGCGTCGTCGCCGTTGTCGTCTCGTGCTGCGCTCCGGCGAGTCGAGTTACTCGCTCGAACTGGTTTCGCCACGCTTCGCGATCCGCTCGCATTTCCTCCTGAAGGGCTGCGATGCGCGCGAAGAGCTGCTGGGTAACCTCGGCGTTGTCGAAGGTTGCCATCCTGTTCAAAACACGCACGGAGGGGGTAATTCGAAAATCGCGGAGCTGGTGCTTACCAGAATCGGCGTCGAATTGGTCGCCCCCGGCGGTTTTTCGAAGCAGGTTTTCCCGCTGCTGCTGCTTTGTTGAGCGCGGCCGAGTGAGAAAAGCTCTGATACCAAGTGTCACAGGATCGAATGACTCGAGGATCGATTGCACTATCGATCAGTACAAGGCGCTTTTATACTTCCAGAGTACATCAGGTAACCAGGTTTATCCTATCTAAAGGAATAGACCCTTCTAGAAAATAGAATCACCCTGCGTATAGCCACGCGAGGCTATTGGCTTTAAGGGATTACGGCAGGATTACGCTAGATAGCGTGTCTAGAACATTCCATGCCTGGTCGGTGATATAATAATAATAAAGGAAGAAACCAAAGGATAAGGGAAAATGGGAAATATGAGGCCACAAGAGATGAGATAAAAAGAGGAATGAAATGAAGATGAAATATGGAAAAGGCCAAGTGGTGTAACGAGGTCGTACTCTCACAGCGGGTGGAGCACGTCAGTTTCCATTGCGGCGAGCACGTAAAATTTGGGATGGGGCTGCTGGCAACTACACTCGACAGGTGCGACGTGCTGCTGGGACGGGATTGGCTGCGACAGTACAACCCGAGAATCGACTGGACGACGGGCAGCTGCAGCATCAAGATCGATGGGCACTATCACGAATTACCGAAATGGACGGGACCCCGCATGCGAAGTACCCAAGTCCACGCGATCACCTTCAACCGCGCGATAAAAGCGGGAGCAGCAGCATACGCCATCGATCTTCGCGAAGTGACGTCGCCGATAACAGCGGAAGATATCACGAAGCTGTGTGAAGCCGTTCCTCCGGATTTAGCGGAACTCATCCGAACATACCCCAAGATTTTCCGGATGACCTAATCGCCGGACTGCCGCCAAGCCGACCCGAAGACCATCGCATCGAGCTAGAACCAGGGGCACAACCGACGGTACAGCAACAATTTCGGCTCAGCCAACCGGAACTCGAGGAATTGCAGCAGCAGCTGGATTACCTCCTGACGAAAGGTTTTATCCGCCCAAGCATATCCCCATACGCCGCCCCCATACTGTTCACACCAAAAACAGATGGCAGATTCCGTATGTGCATCGACTACCGCGCACTCAACCGCATCACCATCAAGTCCCGTTACCCGTTCCCGCGAGCCGACGACCTACTCGACCAACTTCGTGGAGCCCAGTTCTTCTCAAAAATCGATCTGCAAGGAGGTTACCACCAAATTCGCGTTGCCGCCGAGGATTGCCACAAGACCGCCTTCCGAACCTGCTACGGTAGTTACGAGTACCTGGTGATGCCTTTTGGACTCACGAACGCGCCCTCGACTTTCCAGATGACCATGAACGGTGTTTTTCGCGAACTCCTTCATAAATGCGTAATTATCTACCTCGACGACATCCTAATCTACAGCCGCAGCAGGGAGCAACACTTAAAGGATCTTGATGCAGTCTTCACACTGCTGCACAAGAATCGCCTCATCACGAAAGGGTCTAAGTGCGACTTTCTTAAGCCGGAGTTGGAGTTTTTGGGCCACGTCGTCTCTACCGAAGTCGTGAAAATCGACCCCAAGAAAATCAAGACCATACAGGAATGGAAGCAGCCGACCAACCTCAAGGAACTCCAAAGTTTTCTGGGTTTTGTCAACTACGTCCGCCGCTTTATCCCCAATATGGCTGGGTTATCTGCACCGCTAACTGACCGATTGAAGGATCACGATTGTTTTTGGTGGGGTGAGAAGCAGCAAGCTGCATTCGATCAACTTAAAATCGCCCTCACGTCGCCGCCCGTTCTTTGCATCTCCGATCCCAACCGTCCATACGAAGTCGTCACTGACGCCAGCGACATCGCCACCGGGGCAGTTCTCCTACAGGATTTCGGCGACGGGTTACAACCAATCGCATACGAATCACGGAAGCTGCAAGGCGCGGAGAAGAACTATACAGTGCACGACAAGGAAATGCTGGCAATCGTCCACGCGTTCAAAACCTGGCGGTGCTACCTGACCGGAGCTGACGTCACGGTGCGAACGGACCACAAATCCTTACAGTACATGCGCGCCCAACCGAACCTCAACCCACGACAGATCCGATGGCTCGATTTCCTCGAGTCAAATTTCCATTACACCATCACCTACAAACGGGGGGCCAATAATATCGCCAATGCCTTGACCCGCCCTACTGTCCATACCGCCGCGATACTAGTCGCCCAGTCCAACCCATTACTGACAGGACTATTCACCCACGGATACAAGATCGTTCCCTTTTTCCGCTCCGCGATCCATCAACAGCATACCACCGCCACTGGCCCGTATTTCCATAAGCGCGGTACTTCTCGCATCTGGGTACCCGGCTACGATTTACTCCGTACCCTGCTCATCCAGGAATCCCATGACAACCCTACGTCATGACATTTCGGCGTCGATAAAACCACGAAGATGCTGCAGCGGAATTATTACTGGCCGAACATGGCCGATGACGTGCGCAAGTACGTGTCCTCCTGCACTGCCTGCCAGATTATGAAATCGTCGCATCAGCGAGCAGCCAGACTACTACAGCCGTTGGATCCGCCCGAGCGACCCTGGCAACACGTTACGATGGACTACGTGACAGTACTGCCGACCGGTCCCAGCGGAAACGACGCCATCCTCGTGGTCGTTGACCGACTCACGAAAATGGCACACTTCATCGCCTGCCAACAGACAATCACCGCCGAACAAACTGCGCAGCTATTCATCGCGAACGTCATTTGCCTGCACGGACTGCCCTCCGCCATCATTTCGGACCGAGACCCAAAATTCACATCGAATTTTTGGCGCCACCTGTGGGACCAATTCGGCACCAAACTCCAATTTTCATCCGCCTACCACCCACAAACCGACGGGCAGACCGAACGCGTTAACCAAACCATGGAGCAGCTCATTCGCACCACCTGTACTGACCCCTCGACATGGGAGAAATCTCTTCCGCTACTAGAATTCGCGTATAATAACGCGACCTCAGCGACAACCAATCAATCACCATTCTTCCTCAACTACGGACAGGACCCGGTAGTACCCTCTACACCGAACATTGAGTCACCAGTACCCCGGTCCCAAAAATTTGCTGAAGACATCCTCGCCATTCGCGACAAAGCAGCTGAGGCCATTCGGAAAGCTAACGTGGTCGCAAGCCGACAAGCCGATCGACATCGCCGCGACGTCACTTACAAAGTGGGAGATCTTGTCCTCCTCGACACTCGCAATTTGCGGCTGCCGATCCCAAGCAAGCTCCGACCCAGATTCTGCGGCCCTTTTCAAGTGACCAACCTCGTAACACCTGTCACTGTCCACCTTCGGCTCCCGGCTGATTGGCGCCATCATCCGGCTTTCCACGTCAGTCTTCTCCGACCCTACGTCCCGAGTTCGTCGGACTTGGCACGCAACCGTGGTGTACCGCAACTAACGCCTTTGCAGGAACCGACGACTGAGCCCTTGAAAATTCTCGGCCATCGCATCACCACGCAGCTGAACCGTCGGATGGTTGATTTCCTAGTCCGCTGGCGCGATCGCACGTTTGAAGACGACAGCTGGGTGCCCCTCGCTGATCTAGAATCACATCCGATTCTAACGGCATATTACCAGCGTCGGAATGTCTCCGATGCCCACGGTCTCGTTTAGGAGGGGGGGGGGGTAGTGTAAGGAATTTCCATTCCTTACTGAGTCGCCCGCTACCGCGTACACCCGAACACTTCGACTCGTCACGTTCGGCCTACATTTTCGGCCCAACCCTTTCTCGAGTCGCGCCCGACAGCGTCGCCACATTGCCGAACCTACTCACGTCCCGAGGTTATCGCCCTATTACGTCCACTCCTATATAACCTTGTGCTTTCATGGCAATAGTGACGCATTCTCATTATAGTACATTGACATCTTCTAAATCATAACACACTCGTTCACAGTTTCGCCATTGCCCTCCGCGCTACTCGGCATTTCCATTCGTAACAAAATACCATTTCCTTACAGAAACTAACGAGGCACAGTGCTCGTTGGAGCCCCTTGCATTGTAGTCACAACCACTACAAATAGGTGTGCTGTTGAGCCGCCAGCTGGCGCTCGCGGTTCGGGGTGATGAAATGTGTTTCCTTTGGGTGCGACTCGGATGCCCGCCATCACTCACGCGTCGCACCTTGAACCACCTGCAAATTTCATGTATCATTTGCGCGGCCCCACCACGTGCCCCTCCCAACAGCCACCCTGGGAACCACCACGCCACACTTTTGCCAAACCTGCTCCTCCCAAAGTTCCAACAATTACACAATTTCAAACCACTCCGAAGCACAACCACGAGCCGCGTTTGCAACACCAAACGCGAAAATTTCTCGAATGGCCAATGCGCCATTTCCAACCCTCCCCAAGAGGTCTGTCGTGCTAAACCTTCTTTCTCGTCAACATATGCTCCCACATGTTATTACGCATTGCGCGAATTAGGGCCCCTAGCCTTCAGACAGCAAGCCTCGTGCTGTCAACTCACATAGAAGCGCTCCCTTGCTCCTCGCACACAATCAGGGTGCTACGACTCGTACGCCCACGGTGCTCCAAGCGCGTAGAAGCCTGCACTTGGAAAGTCAAGTCGAACACACGTACCCTTACACCCTCCCGCGGCACCACCCTTGGCGTTTGAGATAAGGCATCGGTGTTACCGCAAGGGCCAAGTATCTTTGTCCCAAGTCGGTCGGTGCTTGGCAACAAGCTCCCCCTCGCATACACCTCCCTCTTCAGCCTGATATCAGCAAGTTCAACCTTGGCTGGACCTCTCTTCCTGAGCTACAACCCACCCAGTATACCCCATCCAATATACCCCACCCAGTTGCTGCTCCAATTCCGTCAACGCACGAGCACCCCGTTAGCTTAGTAACACCACCAGCCTTCTGCAATGGGGCGACCACGCCTATTCCTGGCCATTTTAGCCCTCGCATGGGTCGCCGTCGCCGTAGCAGCTCCTGCTGCGAAGCCTGCGACGTCGCGCAAGACGGAGGAAGTGCCGTCGGCCAATCGCCGAGCAGGAATTGCAGAGAAAGTCTTCGCGCACAAGTCTGGGTGGTATGGCCCTCTATCCAAGACGTGGAAGCCAGATGTCGTGGTGGCGCAAGACGGCTCTGGGAAGTTCAAGTCCATTCAGGTTGGTCTCGCACCTACAAGCTTGCTATCGCTGTAAGAAATCTCTTTTTCTGCTGCGTCTGTCTCGGCTGTTGATACTAATCTTGCAGCAGGGCAGCCTGCGCGCTCTTGTGCTGTGGGCTAACGCCCTTTGTTCTGCTCGTGCGCCGTCGCTTCCGTGCGCCTTCCGCCGCGTCCGCGAATCCCGCCGCTTCCGCGAGTTCCGCCGCCGCTGCTGCTCCGCCGCCCTAGTTGCCGAACGCTGTCGCCGAGGGAAGTGCTAAGCGTAGTCCGGCTGGGATCCGGACGCTGTGGCCCAGTCCGCTTGCAGTAGCAATCTGAGCGCCTCAAAGCAGCATGAACTGTAGAAGCGGCTTGTCTAGAAGCGACGCTGTAGCAGAGCAGCCTGCTAGCGCTCTTGTTTGCGCAGAGATTACGCTTCCAGCCGCTACTGCCTCGACACCTGCGAACCGCTACGAGCCGTGTTTCAGAGTTTCTCTCATCTCGATTTATTGTAACCCCGCGTCCCCTTTTCGCCGTTCGTTCGTCGCTGCCTTGCAGAAAGCGATCGACAGCGTGCGGCCCCTGGTTCGACGGCCGAACAAGAAGAACGTGCTGATCTACGTCAAGAAGGGCCTGTACTTCGAAGAGGTTTTCATTCCGCAAGCCAAGTCCGGAATCACTCTGGTGGGAGACCCCGGCGAAACCAGAGTCCGTTTCAACAAGTACTCGGCGAAACTCGACAAGAACGGCAATCCCCTCGGAACTGGTGGGTAATTGCTCGAATACTCTAGCCCCGAGGGTCATGCATATATCGCTGTTTCTAGTGGCTTCTCGAATGCCCACCGTGCATGCTAACCCTGCCGTTGAATAAAACGGTGGCGCTAATATCTGGTTTTTCTTTTTCTTTTTCTTGGTTGATCTCTTTCAGCCAATACTGGTACTCTCGCCGTCCTCGCCGACGACTTCACGATGGTCAACATGATCGTCGAAAACGCTTCGCCGCGACCCCCCCCCGCGACGACGGGTTACCAGGCCGTCGCATTTCGCTCCGCCGGAAACCGCACCATCGTGTTCAACTCCAGCTTCTACTCCTACCAGGACACTCTATACGCGCACAAGGGCTACCAATACTACAAGAACTGTAAGCAGCTACCCACGCTACACAAATTTTCCTCGCATGTAATATAGCTGCCATGCCATTCATCGCCTCCCCTTGCAAACTTCTTGAATTCAGATCCCCCCCCCCCCCACGCCTGTCTCACTCTCGTCCATTATCTCTCTTCCCCTTGGCTTTTTCCCCCTTATATTCCAGGCTTCATTTTCGGCGAGGTTGATTTCGTCTTCGGCGCAGCGAAGGCGATTTTCGACTCATCCACGTTCTACATGGATTCCATGGGCTATGCTGGTGAGTCCTCCTAAGCTCGAAACACTGCCGAGGACGCAAGTTTTTACTTTCCTCGCTATCCCGGGTATTTCCACCTTCGCACGTACACTTTACCTCCAGCTTAAGTTACCCTTTTCGTTGATGTTCGCGCGCAGCCGTCACGGCGAACTACCGCATGTCGAAGAGGGAGGACTCGTGCTTCGTGATCATGAACTCGCACATCACTGGCCGCAACCAGGGCTGGCTCGGCCGCTCCTGGGGCAAGTACGCCTGCACCGTCGTCGCGAACACTTACATGGACAAGGCCGTGCGACCTGACGGTAAGCACTAATTCGGCACGAGGGTTTAGCACCCGGTTCTTTTTTGCAGCTGTTTCGTATGGGTCAGACCAACATCGTTTCTGTTTTCTTACCCCGTGTGTGTAAATCTCTTGCTTCGTTTTTCTTTTTCTCTCGGAATGTACAGGATGGAATGATTTCGGAGTCATTGCGCGGCAAGTGAATTCGTTCTTTGCCGAGTACAACAACCGCGGAATCGGCGCCAACTTGGACGGGCGCGTGTGGTGGCAGAAGGTGATCGAACCGGCGCAGGTAAAGAAGTACGTCACTACCGAGTACATCGGACTCAGCAGCTGGATCCGCGCGCTTCCCATTGCTCCCAAGCGGAAGGGCGGAAGCAGCGGAAGCAGCAAGAAGAGCGCAAAGGGCGGGAAGGGCGGAAAGGGCCAAGCGAACAGCGTGGGCCAGAAGAAGGTCGTTGCGAGCGGGGGAGGAAAGGCGAAGGCGCAGAACCCCGCGGCGAAGGGGCGCGTTCCGCCGAAGGCACGGCACCCCGCCCCGAAGAAACCACAGCAGCCGGCGCAGAAGAAGCCTCAAACGAAGCGCGCGACGACCCAGGAGGTTGTTACAGAAGGGCAGCTTGTGGGTGCAGTTGCTGACGTGGCTCCTGCTCTCACCGCAGTCGTTGCCACGCCTCTGCCTACGGTAGCTGTGGTGGCGGAGCAACGTTACAGCGTGTGCCAGACAAAGCAGCCAGATCTTGCCACCCGTGACACAATCTGTACGCGTTGCTGCATGATGCGCGTTCCGGTGCCGGAGCAACGCGCCTGCATGGACGCTTGCATCGGTATTTGAAAAACAGCGGGAAAAGTGTGCTAACAGGGTGGGTGGGCTGGTGGTTTTTGGTCACCTAGCAGCAGCATCGAGCGTCTAGGGCTGGAGCCGAGGAAGGAGCGTCTAGGGCGGCAGCAGGGTTTCCAAGCTCGGGTAGCCTCAGCAACATCCGTGAAACGGATGCTAGTGTGTGCTGGTTGTGTGGTTCTTGAAACGGCTGGGGCTGGGGAGAATGGGAGGGAACAAAATTGAGCAAATTGCCGTGGAGGGGAGGAGGAATTTCGCTTGGCGAATCGCGAAATGCGGCGCGCTCTTGGAGAGGATCACGCGGCGCATTGCTCCAAGGCTGTTCAACCAGCGAACAATTCCTGATAACTGTAGATTGCTCATACTTCATCTACTATAGGTGTTCTCATACATGTGGAAATAAGTTACATGCGTAGGCCATTGTTTGACATTGCATACTCTTATGAGATAGATAAGCTACGTGGCGCTGCTAGTGGATACAATGTTAACGTGAAGTGCAAGGTGATACCATGCAAATATCAAATCGTTGTTTTTTATTACACGGTACCTTCCATGCAATTTGAACATCTAAACATTGAAGTGAACATCTCGATCGTGTCGACGCTGTCAATCGCGCGTATGTAACCTGCTCTGTACATGCGGCAGATCCCAAATTGCACCCCATCCCAAACCAACATTTGCGCCTATATTCGTGCCGCCGGCAGCCACTCCCACTGCTTGAACACTCCTAAACCCTTCCCCTCCCCCCCTAATGCGCCTATGGCCGGCCTGATCTCGCCCTCCCCTCTACTACTCGCGAGTCGACGGGCGGCTTTCGCGCCGCTTCTCCGTCGCCCGGTCTACGAGGCGCGGACAGAAGCGATCTTCACCGTTCGTCGCGGGCGGCGCCAGGATCTCTCCATCTCGCCGTCCATCCCACCCTCCCCCTCGCCAGTAGCAAATTCGTCTCACCGGTTATCTTCCCCCGTTCCAGCGCCTCTCCGCGCAGTCTACGCGCGCGCCTCTTCCGCAAGCGCCGCGTCCGCGCCTTCCCCCGCGGGCGCACGTTCCGCCGCTTCCGCCACCCCCGCCACCCCCATCCCCGCGCCAGTCCCCGTGGTGCTGACGATCGCGGGATCGGACTCGGGCGGCGGCGCGGGGATCCAGGCGGATATTAAAGCGAGCGCGGCGCACGGCACGTGGTGCGCGACGGCGATCACTGCAGTGACGGCGCAGAACACACGTGGCGTGCAGTCCGTGCACGGCGTTGATGCTGACGTGGTTGTCGCGCAATTGAGGAGCGTTCTTAGCGACCTGCCTGTTGCTGCTGTAAGATTGCGCTAGACACGCCGATTTCGCCAATTCGCATTTTTTCGCAATTTTCGCCGATTGATCCAGTTCCTCTGATCTGTCCCCTTCCCTCTCCACCATCCTCTCCCTCCTTCCCCCCCTCCTTCCCCCCTCCTCCCCCCCCCTCCCGGGCCCCCCTCTTCCTCCCAGATCAAGACGAGCATGCTGCTAACTCGGAGGTGGTGGGTGGCTGCTGGGTGTCTTATGAGCCAATCCAATATACTCTCAATCCTTTCCCCTTCTCGTTCCTCCTCCTTCTTCCCCTTTCCCCCCCCCCCCCTCTCCCCCCCCTCTCCCCATCTTCCCACCCCTGCCCCCGGCCTCCCTTTGTCCGCAGATCAAGACGGGCATGCTGCCAAACGCGGAGGTGGTGGCTGCTGTGTGCGACGTGATGGAGGGAGAGGCGAAGGGAGGTGAGAAGCGGGAGAGACGAGGAGGGAGGGAGGGAGGAAATAGAAGGGAGAAAGGGAGGCGGATGAGAGACAGTGGTTGGCTGTGGTGTGCGACGTGATGGAGGGCGAGACGAAGGGAGGTGAGACGGGGCAGGGGAGAGAGAGGGGATAAAGAGAGGAGAGGAAAGAGGAGGGAGGAAGGGATGCGGGTGATAGACAGCGGTTGTCTGCGGTGTGGGACGTGATGGAGTGCGAGACGAAGGGAGGTGAGAGGCGAGAGGGGAGGGAGAGAAAGTAGGGGGGAGAGAGGAGGGATAGAGGAGGGATAGAGGAGGGATAGAGGAGGGAGGGAGGAGGGATAGAGGAGGGATAGAGGAGGGATAGAGGAGGGATAGAGGAGGGATAGAGGAGGGATAGAGGAGGGATAGAGGAGGGATAGAGGAGGGATAGAGGAGGGATAGAGGAGGGATAGAGGAGGGATAGAGGAGGGATAGAGGAGGGAGGGAGCAGAGAGATGGAAGAGAGCAGGGGGAAGAGGAGAGAGACATGCAGTGGGTGCTACTGTGTGCGACGTGATGGAGGGAGAGACGAAGGGAGGTGAGAGAGAGGGGGGGAAGAGAGGAGGGAGGCACGGGAAGAGAGGAGAGAGGAGGGAGGAGGCGAGTTGGTGGACAGACAGTGGGTGATGTGTGGGTGATGGGCTTGATAAAGGGAGAGGGAAAGGGTGGTGAAAGGAGGAAGAGAAAGTAGTGGGGCGAGAAGTGGGGGGGGCTGTCACGTCTCCCTTCTCGTTCCCCTACTTCCCCCTTCCCCCGCTCCTCTCCCCACCTCCCCCGTTCTTCCCCTTCTTCCCCTGCTCCTCTCCCCACCTCCCCCGTTCTTCCCCTTCTTCCCCCGCTCCTCTCCCCACCCCCCCGTTCCTTTCCCCTTTCTCCCCCGCTCCTCTCCGCCCCCCCCTCTTCCCCGCTCCTCTCCCCCTCGCCACTCCTCCCCTCCAGTCCCTCTGGTGGTAAACCGTGTGCTCGGGGCATGGAGTGGATCCTTAAGTGTGTCCTGTCCTGTCTCCCCTCTCACCTCCCCTTTTCCTCAAACCTCCCCTCTCCAGTTCCCCTGGTGGTGGACCGGATGGTGTTTTTGAGAAATTTCAAAAACACCCTGCAAAATCAAGTTCCTCCGGTGGTGGGCCGAATGGTCGTGGCACCCAGTGGGGACTCATGCATCTCCCCCACCCTCCTTCCCTTCCTTCCTCTCTCAATCCTCCCCAGTCCAGTTCCTCTGGTGGTGGACCCAGTGCTCGTGCCCAGTGCTCTGGTGGCGACTCTGGTGTGTGTGCGCCTGCGCCCCTTTCCAGTAGCCCTCCGTTTCTCCCCTTCCCCTCTCTTCCCATCCAGTTGCTCTGGTGGTCGACCCAGTGCTCGTGCCCAGTGCTCTGGTGGCGACTCTGGTGTGTGTGCGCCTGCGCCCCTTTCCAGTAGCCCTCCGTTTCTCCCCTTCCCCTCTCTTCCCATCCAGTTCCTCTGGTGGTCGACCCAGTGCTCGTGGCGTCCAGTGGGGACTCGCTAGCAGACAACCAAGCCCTGCAGCTCATTCGGTGCGATGCGGTGATGATGGGTGGGAGGGCGGTTGGGGGGTGTGATGTGGAAAACCGTGTAGTAGCAACATTGGTGTGTGATCACTGTACCGACGAGTGTAATGGTGTACTACTGTATTGATTTGTGCGTATGGATGGATGGTGTTTGTTGTCATTCCCATTGCCTTAGCTGAGGCAGGGCCTTCTTTTTGCACAAAACCTCTTCCTTCCTGTCCTCGTTATTTCTAAACCACCCCTCCCACAGTTTTTTTATTCTGCCGTCTTCCTTCTGCTGCTGCTGCTGCTGCTGCTGCTGCTGGGCTGGTTTTCTTGCTTCATACTCTTCTACTCTCTCTGTTTCCGCATATTCCCAGCTCTCTCCTTCTCCCCCTGGCTGCTGTTGTCACTCCCAACCTAAAGGAGGCCGAAGCCCTGCTGCCGCTGCTGCTGCTGCTGCTGCTGCGGGTGTGCCCTCTCTTTGTCTCTCTGTCCTCCCCCCCACCCCCCCACCCCACCTGTCCTTCAACCCCCCCAGCTCCCGCCTGCTCCCCCTGGCCGCTGTCGTCACGCCCAACCTAAAGGAGGCTGAAGCTCTGCTGCTGCTGCTGCTGCTGCTGCTGCTGCTGCCTGGTGTGCCCACTCTTTGTACCTCTGTCCCCTTCCCTCCCCCACCCCGCCCCTTCCCTTCCCCCTGTCCCTGCGCCCTGCACACACACCCCCAGCTCCCGCCTGCTCCCCCTGGCCGCTGTCGTCACGCCCAACCTAAAGGAGGCCGAGGCCCTGCTGCTGCTGGCGCCTGGATCCATTCGGACCATAGAGGACATGCAGAGAGCAGCCAAGGGCATACACGCACTGGGCGCCAGGTGAGAGAGAGAGATAGGGAGATGAGGTTAGTTTGTGAGAGAATAAGGGAGATTGAAGCCCTGCTGCTGCTGGCGCCTGGGTCTATTCGCACAACAGAGGGCATGCGGAGAGCAGCCAAGGGCATACACGCGTTGGGCTCCAGGTGAGAGAGGGAGGGGAGGGTGGATTGTGAGAGAGAGGCGGTTGGGTTATGAGAGGCGGTTAGGTCGTAGGTTGAAGGGTTCACTGTTCAGTGCTATTCAGACAATAGAGGGTACGAGGAGAGGAGCCAGAAGGATACACGCTCTTGGTGCCAGGTGAGAGAGAGGTGTGGTTGGGTTGTGAGAGGCGGTTAGGTCGTGGGTTGAAGGGTTCAGTGCCATTCGGACATGCGGGGAGCGGCCAGGGACATACACACTCTTGGTGCCAGGTGAGAGGGAGGAGTGGATGAGAGCATGGCCAAATGCGCCCGTGTCTCTCTCTCACATGCTCTTCTTCTTTGTGCGGTTTGTTGTCGCGGCTGCACCTGCCTCTCTCTCTCTCTCTCTCTCTCTCTCAAGCGGTCCTTGTATTGATTAAAACGTTGTACATACTAGGCATGTGGGCCAACTCCGGAGACTATGAAAGGTGCGTGCACGTAGGGGGTGGGTGGCTGGAAGACTAGAGCTCCCCGAGGGGCTCAGCTATGGCAAAACAGTCCCCTAGGCCCATTTCGGCTCCGGGAGCACCCACGGGGGGATTCTCCGCCGGGGCAGCCTCGTTGATTTTCCCGAGGTAGGCCAGGGCCTGCGCCCGCTGGAGTGTGACGGACCAGCGCTGGCGGAACTGATGCAGGAGCTTCGCCGCTTGGTAGGAGCTTGGGTCCGCGTTGAACAGCCGTCTAGCTCCCGTGTCCGTGAGGAGCTTCAGGAAGCTGGGGACCTCGGCGCAGGGGCAGCCATAGGTCTCCACGGCCAAGGGGAAGAAGCCGACATAAGGTGCGCGGTTACGGTAATGGTCAATCTTTTTATCGGCTTGTTCCCGGGCCATATAACCCCGCCCCTTGCGGGCGTGCGGGTCCCGGGTGCTGATGGGATCCGTGACGGTGACGTCACAGATCCACACGGCGCCAGAGACCCTGTCGCGCATGGCTAGGTCCGCCTTGTGACCGTCCACCGGACTGTAGATAGTGGTCTCTTTTGTGACAATGAGCCCCGCGTCCCGCGCCATACGGATGCACTCGTCGCGGAGTGCGTTGTGCGTGTCTGTCCGGCCATGGCCCGTGCCGCATCGGAAGAGGTGGTTGGGCAGCCGGGGGTCAAGTATCTCGGTCTCGTCGGCGCAGTTGCAATTGCGTGGGGCTGGGAAAGGGAGGCCGAGGCGGAAGGCGAGGGCGATGGCAAAGTGTGGAGGTCCGAGGCGGAGAGAAGGGAAGATGGGGATGGCGTGGAGCCAATCCCCTGCCCCGTAACCCGCCAGAGAGAACAGGCGCTGTGTGTGGCCAGAACTGGGGTTCAGCTCCATCTCGCGGGACGCCGTCACCTGGTCCGCATATCGGGCGGCGTGGACCTCAAGGGAGAGTCGGTGCTGGAGTGGGGTGCCAGAGGGCTCCTGGCGTTCGGAGCGCAGGAGTTCCAGTGCATGGGACGGCATGGCCGCCTCACACCGTGCCAGCCAGGTATGGAGGTGATGGGGGCCGGAGAAGGGGGGGGTGAGGGGGGGCAGTGCGGACGCCAGGGGCCCTTCGGCTGCGAAGGGTAAGGCGGCGAGGAGGTGCTGTGCCTGGGCGACGCTGGTTAGGAAGGCCGCCGGGCCTTCGACGGCGGGGTTGGAGAGGCCCAGCCCGCCAAGCGAGGGTGGAAGCGAGGCCTGAGCCCAGGTGCGCACGCGTTCGGCTTCCCCTCGAGGAAGTTGGAGGTTGCATGCGCCGAGGAGGGTGTGAAAGAGCCCCCGACCCCACTCCGACCACTCTGAGTGTGGGAGGAAGTCCAGGGGCGTGGTGCGGGTCAAGTAGCTGACCCGCCGCGAGATGCAGCGCGTAAGGAGGAGAGAGGCTGACTGGGGGTCCATGGTGGCGATGGTGGGGAGTGGCTCGGCCAGCGAGGCCAGCTGGGAACGGAGAAAAGCAGCTGAGCCCTCCGCTGTCCCGACAAAACTCCCCAGCACCCGTAGTCCTTCGTTGTGGAAGGGGACGTCCGGGGGAAGGGCGTCGGGTGGGGGAGGAGTGGGGGACCACGCCCCACACTTCGAGGGGTTGTGTGTAAGGCCAATGGCCCCCACGGCGCCCGTGAAGTGGTGGAAGGCCGCTGTGCAGGCGGCCGGTTCTCCCACGAACGTCACGTCGTCCGCGTAGGCTAGACAGAGGACGTCAGGGTGGGCGGTGGCTGTTGATTGAAGCGCGGGGTGGATGGCGGCAGCGAAGAGCAAGGGGCCCATGGGGTCCCCTTGTCGGACGACCCGTGCACTCAGGAGTGGTGGGCTGGCGAACCCGTCATCGAGGTACAGGAGCGACGGGGTGCCGTACGAAAAACGGATAAATGGAAGCAGCGATCGAAGGGGCGAGCCGTCAATGGCGGTGATGATCCCCCCTCGCTCGACGCCATTAAACGCGTTTGTGAGGTCTACTTGGACAATCACGGAGCGGGGACGTACGGAGGTGAAAGCCCGGGTGGCATGGATAATTGCCTCTCCGCCGCTCCGAATTGCAACGCCGAACTGAAGTGGCAGAAAATAATCTTGTGCGGGCTGGGTTGACGACATGAGGGCGGATTTGGCAGTAAGGCAGTGGAGACATTCCCCTATGGCGATGGGGCGTGTCCCGCCATCAGGTTTGCGAAGGGCTAACAGGCGGGACGCAGTTAACAACTCGCTGACCTCCTGGGGCAGGTTACCGGCGAGGAGCAGCTGCACAATTTCGTGCAGGAGCTTTGCGACGTGCGGATTGGTGAGCGAGGCGTCGCGCAGGTGTTCAAATGTCATCCCCGAAGGGCCGGCTCCGACCCCATTTTCACTTCGCGAAAGTAGGCGAATGAAATCGGCGAAGTCGAGCGCCGGCGGGGTGATGTCGTCCAGGGAGGGCCACGTGAGGTCCTCTGTCAACGGTCTCGGGTGTTTGGACTTCAGCGAGTCAAGGACCTCCGGGGTTGACTCGCTGACTGGGGTAGACTGGAGCGCTAGTAGGGCGCGGCGAAGGCTTCCTCGTCGCACCAGCCCCTCGGCTCGGGAGATTTTCCCGAGGTTGTCACGAACATGGCGAGGGGGCGCAGGCAGAGTGACAGCTGCCGCAGCTGGCTGGTAGAGGGTGTCCCACTGGCCGGCGAGGAACTGCTGCAGCCGGGTTTCCATCGCTGGCCAATCTGGGCGTTTGGGCGATGACATGCGAAGAGTTAGTCGTGGGAGAAAAAGTAACAAACGCCAACCCCCGATTGAAGTTGGATTTTTCGTGAGGAAAAGGAGGGGCGTCAGCAGGGCCAGCGCGAACAGCTGGCGAATAGAGGGGGGCAGTCGCCTTGAAAGAGGGGGCTGGCGACTATCGCACAGCACCGCGATGTCCCAACTGGCCAGTGGAGCAAATCGTGACGGATCGTGGGCCAGTTCTTCCGGGGATAGTTGCCTGGCTGCCTGGGAGGGACTGTCCAGCGGTCGGGCAGATTGTGATCCCATATGTCCGTGGCCCGTGGATCTGGGAGAGGGATTTCGAATCTCACTCCCTACCCGCCTTGGTGCCCTTTCCCCGAATGTGCCAGTGGAATCGTCGGTGGTAGAATCCATGTGCGGTTCCTGGATATATGTACCGTCTCGTCTTTCTTCCTCATCAGTTGCCTCCCGCAGTCCCATGTCCCTTAAAGCCCGATCCGCAGCCTGCTGGAAGCCGTTCAGCAGGCCACCGTCGCGTGCCAGATCGCCAGTCCGTGCGCGCCCGCCCCCGTGCCCGCCACCACCACGGCCCCTGGTTGCGCCATCCCTGCCTCCGCCGCGTCCCCTCCGCGTGGCGCTGCCCCGTGGTGTGGAGCGTGGTGTAGGCGGGCGATCGCCCCGCTGCCTCGCTGTGCCCGCTCTTCGGCTCATCGGCGAGTCGGATGGCCGACCAGGCTGGTCGCGCGCGAAGATAGCGCTCCGTCGATCGCGAGAGTTCGGGGGAAAACGTCCTCCCCCGAGGTCGGTCGAGCTCCCCTCCCCTGTCTGACCGGCGGTGGGCACGCGGGCTCCCAGCGCCGTCCACGAGCGCGCCAGCGTCCCCCGATCGGGTGCGTGCGGCAACGCCGCCTCGGCTGGAAGGGCGGGCTGCGGTGGCAGAGGAACGCCAGTGTCCTCGTGCTGCGTTGTCGCCGCCTGCTGTATCACGTGCGGCGGGTCCACGCCCCCCCCCTGAGCTGCCGTCTCTCTCTCTCTCTCTCTCTCTCTCTCTCTCTCTCTCTCTCTCTCTCTCATTCTCTCTCTCTCTCTCTCTCTCTCTCTCTCTCTCTCTCTCTCGCTCTCTCTCGCTCGCTCTCGCGAGCGCCGCTGCAGGGACCGGATGAAGAACTCAACTCAAAACTAAATAATGAACTCTAGGATGGGTGGAAGAGCCTTATATACCATGGGCTCTCTCTCTCTCTCTCTCTCTCTCTCTCTCTCTCTCTCTCTCTCTCTCTCTCTCTCTCTCTCCTCTCTCTCTCTCTCTCTCTCTCTCTCTCTCGAATGGTCCTTTGTTGCTGGGGAATCCTGGGTACATGCTAGGCAAGAGGAGCAGGCACAGGTAAATACTACCGGTGGGGAGGTTGAGTACCCGGTCCTACCACCCCCCCTCCCTCCCCTAATGCTCTAGCATGGCGAAGCAGTCCCCGAGGGACATGCCCGCATCGGGTCCCCCCAAGGGGGGCCACTCCAACGGTGACACTTCGTTCACCTTCCCCAGGTAGGTTTGTGCCTGTCCCCGTTGGAGGGTGACTGACCAGCGCTGGCGAAACTGGTTGAGTAGTTTCGCTGCCTGGTAAGAGCTGGGGTCGGCGTTGAAGAGGCGCCGGGCAGCCGTGTGGGCTAAAAGTTTGAGGAAGACCGG